TTCCCCTATCCTGCTCTCCCTTTCCCCCTATCCTCCTCCCCCTTTCCCCCTGTCCTCCATTCCCTTTCCCCCTATCCTGCTCTCCCTTTCCCCCTGTCCTCCTCTCCCTTTCCCCCAATCCTCCTCTCCCTTTCCCCCTGTCCTCCTCTCCCTTTCCCCCTGTCCTCCTCTCCCTTTCCCCGTATCCTCCTCCCCCTTTCCCCCTGTCCTCCTCTCCCTTTCCCCCTATCCTGGTCTCCCTTTCCCCCTGTCCTCCTCTCCCTTTCCCCTATCCTCCTCTCTCTTTCCCCCTGTCCTCCTCTCCCTTTCCCCCTATCCTTCTCCCCCTTTCCCCCTGTCCTCCTCTCCCTTTCCCCCAATCCTCCTCTCCCTTTCCCCGTATCCTCCTCTCCCTTTCCCCCTGTCCTCCTCTTCCTTTCCCCCTATCATGGTCTCCCTTTCCCCCTGTCCTCTCCCTGTCCCCCTGTCCTCCTCTCCCTGTCCCCCTGTCCTCCTCTCCCTTTCCCCCTATCCTCCTCTCCCGTTCCCCCTATCGTGCTCTCCCCTTCCCCCTATCCTTCTTCCCCTTTCCCCCTGCCCTCCTCTCTCTTTCCCCCTGTCCTCCTCTCCCTTTCCCCCTGTCCTCCTCTCCCTTTCCCTCTGTTCTCCTCTCTCTTTCCCCTGTCCTCCTCTCCCTTTCCCCTGTCCTCCTCTTCCTTTCCCCCTATCCTCCTCCCCCTTTCCCCGTGTCCTCCTCTCCCTTTCCCCCTATCCTGCTCTCCCTTTCCCCCTGTCCTCCTCTCCCTTTCCCCCTATCCTCCTCTCCCTTTCCCCCTGTCCTCCTCTCCCTTTCCCCCAATCCGCCTCTCCCTTTCCACCTGTCCTCCTCTCCCTTTCCCCCTATCCTCCTCTCCCTTTCCCCCTGTCCTCCTCTCCCTTTCCCCCTGTCCTCCTCTCCCTGTCCCCCTGTCCTCCTCTCCCTTTCCCCCTGTCCTCCTCCCCCTTTCCCCAATCCTTCTCTCCCTTTCCCCCTATCCTCCTCTCCCTTTCCCCTGTCCTCCTCTCCCTTTCCCCTGCCCTCCTCTCCTTTCCCCCTGTCCTCCTCTCCCTTTCCCCTGTCCTCCTCTCCCTTTCCCCCTGTCCTCCTCTCCCTTTCCCCCTGTCCTCCTCTCCCTTTCCCCCTATCCTCCTCTCCCTTTCCCCCTGTCCTCCTCGCCCTTTCCCCCAATCCTCCTTCCTTTCCCCCTGTCCTCCTCTCCCTCTCCCCCTGTCCTCCTCTTCCTTTCCCCCTATCCTGCTTCCCCTTTCCCCCTGTCCTCCTCTCCCTTTCCCCCTATCCTAATCTCCCTTTCCCCCTATCCTCCTCCCCCTTTCCCCCTGCCCTCCTCTTCCTTTCCCCCTATCCTCCTCTCCCTTTCCCCCTGTCCTCCTCTCCCTTTCCCCCTATCCTGCTCTCCCTTTCCCCCTGTCCTCCTCTCCCTTTCCCCCAATCCTCCTCTCCCTTTCCCCCTGTCCTCCTCTCCCTTTCCCCCTGTCCTCCTCTCCCTTTCCCCTATCCTGCTCTCCCTTTCCCCCTGTCCTCCTCTCCCTTTCCCCCTGTCCTCCTCTCCCTTTCCCCCTATCCTGCTCTCCCTTTCCCCCTGTCCTCCTCTCCTTTCCCCCTATCCTCCTCTCCCTTTCCCCCTGTCCTCCTCTCCCTTTCCCCCTGTCCTCCTCTCCCTTTCCCCCTATCCTGCTCTCCCTTTCCCCCTGTCCTCCTCTCCCTTTCCCCCTATCCTGCTCTCCCTTTCCCCCTATCCTCCTCCCCCTTTCCCCCTGCCCTCCTCTTCCTTTCCCCCTATCCTCCTCTCCCTTTCCCCCTGTCCTCCTCTCCCTTTCCCCCTATCCTGCTCTCCCTTTCCCCCTATCCTCCTCCCCCTTTCCCCCTGTCCTCCTTTCCCTTTCCCCCTATCCTGCTCTCCCTTTCCCCCTGTCCTCCTCTCCCTTTCCCCCAATCCTCCTCTCCCTTTCCCCCTGTCCTCCTCTCCCTTTCCCCCTGTCCTCCTCTCCCTTTCCCCCTATCCTCCTCCCCCTTTCCCCCTGTCCTCCTCTCCCTTTCCCCCTATCCTGGTCTCCCTTTCCCCCTTGCCTCCTCTCCCTTTCCCCCTATCCTCCTCTCCCTTTCCCCCTATCCTGCTCTCCCCTTTCCCCTATCCTTCTTCCCCTTTCCCCCTGCCCTCCTCTCTCTTTCCCCCTGTCCTCCTCTCCCTTTCCCCCTGTCCTCCTCTCCCTTTCCCTCTGTTCTCCTCTCTCTTTCCCCCTGTCCTCCTCTCCCTTTCCCCCTGTCCTCCTCTCCCTTTCCCCCTATCCTCCTCTCCCTTTCCCCCTATCCTGCTCTCCCCTTTCCCCTATCCTTCTTCCCCTTTCCCCCTGCCCTCCTCTCTCTTTCCCCCTGTCCTCCTCTCCCTTTCCCCCTGTCCTCCTCTCCCTTTCCCTCTGTTCTCCTCTCTCTTTCCCGCTGTCCTCCTCTCCCTTTCCCCCTGTCCTCCTCTCCCTTTCCCCCTATCCTCCTCTTCCTTTCTCCTCTCCCTTTCCCTCTGTTCTCCTCTCTCTTTCCCCTGTCCTCCTCTCCCTTTCCCTCTGTCCTCCTCTCCCTTTCCCCCTATCCTCCTCTCCCTTTCCCCCTGTCCTCCTCTCTCTTTCCCCCTATCCTGCTCTCCCTTTCCCCCTGTCCTCCTCTCCCTGTCCCCCTGTCCTCCTCTCCCTTTCCCCCTGTCCTCCTCTCTCTTTCCCCCTATCCTCCTCTCCCTTTCCCCCTATCCTCCTCTCCTTTCCCCCTGTCCTCCTCTCCCTTTCCCCCTATCCTCCTCCCCCTTTCCCCCTGTCCTCCTCTTCGTTTCCCCCTATCCTGCTCTCCCTTTCCCCCTGTCCTCCTCTCCCTTTCCCCCTATCCTCCTCTTCCTTTCCCCCTATCCTGCTCTCCCCTTTCCCCTATCCTTCTTCCCCTTTCCCCCTGCCCTCCTCTCTCTTTCCCCCTGTCCTCCTCTCCCTTTCCCTCTGTCCTCCTCTCCCTTTCCCTCTGTTCTCCTCTCTCTTTCCCCCTGTCCTCCTCTCCCTTTCCCCCTGTCCTCCTCTCCCTTTCTCCCTATCCTCCTCTCCCTTTCCCCCTGTCCTCCTCTCTCTTTCCCCCTATCCTACTCTCCCTTTCCCCCTGTCCTCCTCTCCCTGTCCCCCTGTCCTCCTCTCCCTTTCCCCCTGTCCTCCTCTCTCTTTCCCCCTATCCTCCTCTCCCTTTCCCCCTATCCTCCTCTCCCTTTCCCCCTGTCCTCCTCTCCCTTTCCCCCTATCCTCCTCCCCCTTTCCCCCTGTCCTCCTCTTCGTTTCCCGCTATCCTGCTCTCCCTTTCCCCCTGTCCTCCTCTCCCTTTCCCCCTGTCCTCTCCCTTTCCCCCTATCCTGCTCTCCCTTTCCCCTATCCTTCTCCCCCTTTCCCCCTGCCCTCCTCTCTCTTTCCCCCTGTCCTCCTCTCCCTTTCCCCCTGTCCTCCTCTCGCTTTCCCCCTATCCTCCTCTCCATTCCCCCTGTCCTCCTCTCCCTTTCCCTCTATCCTGCTCTCCCTTTCCCCCTGTCCTCCTCTCCCTTTCCCCCTATCCTCCTCTCCCTTTCCCCCTGTCCTCCTCTCCCTTTCCCCCAATCCTCCTCTCCCTTTCCCCCTATCCTCCTCTCCCTTTCCCCCTGTCCTCCTCCCCCTTTCCCCCTGTTCTCCTCTTCGTTTCCCCCATATCCTGCTCTCCCTTTCCCCCTGTCCTCCTCTCTCTTTCCCCCAATCCTCCTCTCCCTTTCCCCCTATCCTCCTCTCCCTTTCCCCCTATCCTGCTCTCCCTTTCCCCCTATCCTCCTCCCCCTTTCCTCCTGTCCTCCTCTCCCTTTCCCCCTATCCTCCTCTCCCTTTCCCCCTATCCTCCTCCCCCTTTCCCCCTGTCGTCCTCTCCCTTTCCCCCTATCCTGCTCTCCCTTTCCCCCAATCCTCCTCTCCGTTTCCCCCAATCCTCCTCTCCCTTTCCCCCTATCCTCCTCCCCCTTTCCCCCTGTCCTCCTCTCCCTTTCCCCCTATCCTCCTCTCCCTTTCCCCCTAGCCTCCTGTCCCTTTCCCCCTATCCGCCTCTCCCTTTCACCCTGTCTTCCCCTCTTACCCCCTCTCTTCCTCTCCCTTTCCCCCTCTCCTCCTCTCCCTTTCCCCCTGTCCTTCTCTTCCTTTCCCCCTGTCCTCATCTCCCTTTCCCCCTGTCCTCCTTTCCCTTTTCCCCTGTCCTCCTCTCCCTTTCCCCCTGTCCTCCTCTCCATTTCCCCCTATCCTCCTCTCCCTTTCCCCCTGTCCTCCTCTCCCTTTCCCCCTATCCTCCTCTCCCTTTCCCCCTGTCCTCCTCTCCCTTTCCCCCAATCCTCCTCTCCCTTTCCCCCTATCCCCCTCTTCCTTTCCCCCTATCCTGCTCTCCCTTTCCCCCTATCCTCCTCCCCCTTTCCCCCTGCCCTCCTCTCCCTTTCCCCCTATCCTCCTCCCCCTTTCCCCCTGCCCTCCTCTCCCTTTCCCCCTGTCCTCCTCTCCCTTTCCCCCTGTCCTCCTCTCCCTTTCCCCCTATACTCCTCTCCCCCCCCCCCCATCCTCCTCTCCCTTCCCCCTCTCCTCCTCTCCCTTTCCCCCTATCCTCCTCCCCTTTTCCCCCTGTCCTCCTCTCCCTTTCCCCCTATCCTCCTCTCCCTTTCCCCCTAGTTTCCTGTCCCTTTCCCCCTATCCTCCTCTTCCTTTCACCCTGTCCTCCCCTCTCTTACCCCCTCTCCTCCTCTCTCTTTCCTCCTGTCCTCTCCCCTTCCCTCTATCCTCCTCTCCCTTTCCCCCTGTCCTCCTCTCCCTCTCATTGCCCTCTGCTCCCCCTCTCATTGCCCTCTGCTCCCCCTCTCATTGTGCTCACATCTCCCCCTCTCATTCTCACCATCCGCTTCTCCCCCCACACCCCCTTCCCCCTGCCCTCCCTTCCCTTCCAGATCCCCACCCCTCCCCCTCCCCTCCCCACCCCCTTCCCTTATCTGTACACACTCCCTGCCATATCAGATTAGACGGCTTCAGGGGGAACATCCCTGCCGATATGAGATGGGCTGTGGGGGACCCATCTCCATGGCGGCATGTGGAAATGCCTCTAGTTATCTACACACTACTTCCTGGTCAGGGGATAGTGACGACATGCACTATTGTTGGCCAGTGTGGCGTTGTGGTGGCGCTGTGAAAGAAAATGTGCTTTTATTTCGATGGCATGTCTGCTACTCTGGTCCTCGGTCTTAGGTACTGGTATATCCATTGTTTTTTTTGTGCATGTGGTGTTGTGAGATTTCAAGAAGACATGCTTTGTTGTGTAGTCTTTGCGTGCTACTAGCTTGGTTCAACAATTTCATACACAAATGAGAACTGGGAATGCAAGGGACTTCAGGAGAATATCCGGCAAGAGGGCTGGTGCCCAAGGGTGTGTATGGAGGTCGGTTACCACACAATAAGTAGGTTACAAATACATAACTGTCATAAGCTGAGCTGCGTGGGACACAATCACCACGCGGATGCGTATGGAGGAATAGGGGTAAGCGGTCGCAGCACCACGAAACATGGTTGGGCTGGAGGGTGGAAGGAATCTGCAACACTTTAGGGCGTGTCTGAGAGTCTGGGGGAACCCAGCCCGCACTCCCATCAGCGACACCTTCCAACGTAAACAAGGAGGCCACACCCACCAGCCCCACGAATCGGTTGCAACCCCTAAGCTGCGGGGAGCAGCCTCGCCGACAAGCACACCCCCTCCATCAGCAAAAGGCAACTCCTATCAAGCATGCCAAATACCGTTGCATATGTCAGGCATGCCAAACAGCCATAGCTATCAGACATGCCAATCAGTGGGACCGCGCTGCCATGCCAAACCGCCACGCCTATCAGGCATGCCAAGCAGCTGCCCATTTCAGGCATGCCATGCAGCTGCACACGTCAGGCATGCCAAGCAGTTGCATATTTCAGGCATGCCAAGTAGCTGCACATGTCAGGCTTGACAAGCAGTTGCATATTTCAGGCATGCCAAGTAGCTGCACATGTCAGGCATGCCAAGCAGTTGCATATTTCAGGCATGCCAAGTAGCTGCACATGTCAGCAGGGCCTACTTTTGGATTTTTACTACTCTGAAATTAGGGAGTGGCTTTATCATCACTCTGAAAATCAGAGTGCTCCCTAATGGTTTCTCTGATTTTCCAGGGTTTTTTATATTTCTCAAAATTTTACACTGACAATGCAGAGGGGTTTTTGAAGTAACTCTTTGCAGCAGGGTTCTCTAGGTGTGCGGGGCAAGATCGGGAGATGGGGGGTGGAACAAAGGGGAAGTATCAAGAGATTGTATGGGCAGGGGGAATCGAGATTGCAGGGGCAGGGGGAATCGAGCTGGCAGGAGAGGTCGACACAGCAGGGGCGGGGACGGGAAATCTTCCACTCCCCCTGCAAGCACACGTTGGCCCCAAATACGGTGAAGGGCCCAACCAACACGACCTCACATAGCCAACATCGCATCTCGCTTGAACCCTAGATTTGGCGAAGGGCCAATCAGCGCCCTCACGCACCTTCCAGCACAATTGGAGAGGTGATTTTGGTTTAGGGACACTTACCGTAGCACCCTCACACAACCTCGAGCACGGACCAGACAATGATTTCGCCGGTGCGTGTGACATGACGCGTTCTGCGGGACACATGGGCACAGCTAGGTATAGGGGACAGGAACATAATCACATATATACGGTACCCCCTATACACGGACCATCAGAGTGGTACAAAGGTTTACTCGGATAAAATCAGAGTAAAACAAATAATTTATTTTTTTACTCAGGGCCCCTAGAGTAGTTTTCAAAAACGACTCTGATTTTCAGAGAAACAGAGTAAATTACTCTGATAAAATAGGCCCTGCATGTCAGGCATGCCAAGCAGTTGCATATTTCAGGCATGCCAAGTAGCTGCACATGTCAGGCATGCCAAGCAGTTGCATATTTCAGGCATGCCAAGTAGCTGCACATGTCAGGCAGGCCAAGCAGTTGCATATTTCAGGCATGCCAAGTAGCTGCACATGCTAGGCATGCCAAGCAGTTGCATATTTCAGGCATGCCAAGTAGCTGCACATGTCAGGCATGCCAAGTAGTTGCATATTTCAGGCATGCCAAGTAGCTGCACATGTCAGGCATGCCAAGCAGTTGCATATTTCAGGCATGCCAAGTAGTTGCACATGTCAGGCATGCCAAGCAGTTGCATATTTCAGGCATGCCAAGTACCTACACATGTCAGGCATGCAAGGCAGTTGCATATTTCAGGCATGCCAAATAGCTGCACATGTCAGGCATGCCAAGCAGTTGCATATTTCAGGCATGCCAAGTAGCTGCACATGTCAGGCATGCCAAGCAGTTGCATATTTCAGGCATGCCAAGTTGCTGCACATGTCAGGCATGCCAAGCAGTTGCATATTTCAGGCATGCCAAGTAGTTGCACATATCAGGCATGCCAAGCAGTTGCATATTTCAGGCATGCCAAGTACCTGCACATGTCAGGCATGCAAGGCAGTTGCATATTTTAGGCATGCCAAATAGCTGCACATGTCAGGCATACCAAGCAGTTGCATATTTCAGGCATGCCAAGTAGCTGCACATGTCAGGCATGCCAAGCAGTTGCATATTTCGGGCATGCCAAGTAGGTGCACATGTCAGGCATACGCTGTAGCGGCACATGTTAGGCATGCCAAACACCCACATGTCAGGCATGCCAAGTAACTGCACATGTCAGGCATGCCATGCAGCTGCAAATGTCAGGCATGCCAAGCAGTTGCATATGTCAGGCATGCCAAGCAGTTGCATATGTCAGGCATGCCAAGCAGCTGCACATGTCAGGCATGCCAAGCAGTTGCATATGTCAGGCATGCCAAGTAGCTGCACATGTCAGGCATGCCAAGCAGTTGCATATTTCAGGCATGCAAGGCAGTTGCACATGTCAGGCATACGATGTAGCGGCACATGTCAGGCATGCCAAGCAGCTGCACATGTCAGGCATGCCAAGTAGCTGCACATGTTAGGCATGCCATGCAGCTGCAAATGTCAGGCATGCCAAGCAGTTGCATATGTCAGGCATGCCAAGCAGTTGCATATGTCAGGCATGCCAAGCAGCAGCACATGACAGGCATGCTAAGCATAGGCACATGTCAGGCACGCCAGGCAGCTGAACATGTCAAGCATGCCATGCAGCTGCACATGTCAAGCATGCCAAGCAGCTGCATATGTCAGGCATGCCAAGTAGCTGCAGATGTCAGGCATGCCATGCAGAGAAAATGTGCTGCACATGTCAGGCGCGCCAAACAGCCACACATATCAGGAATGCCAAGCAGCCACTCCTCTCAGCCATGCCAAACAGCCACACCTATTGGGGTTTTCAAACCGCCAGACCTGTCAGCCCCACCTGCCTTGCACACCCTAATGCTCTACCTATTAGCCACACCAATCGGCAACCACAATCGGCAACCACAATCAGCCACCCTTATCACGCGCACACGGCACACCTATCCCCCACAACTCACAGCCACACCAATTGGCCACACCAAACAGCAAGTATCTGCCGCTAGGTATGGATCTGTTTACCTGTCAGGCTAGCAGTGCCGCTGCTTATAGGGGCGCGTGGCCAGGCGCGGTCCTCGGAGGCTTGAAGGGTAGCCTGAGGGTGCGAGTCTCCACACAGCCCGCCGGACGCTTACCGCAGCAAGTTGGTGCCATCAGCTGCATGCGTGGGAACGGGCATGTCGGAAGCAAAGCATAAAAGGGGGTTTGGGAACACATGGTCGTCCTATGGGGTAGACACTAGTGGGACGGATTGGACGTTTTGGCGTTGCAAAGGGACCACGGGCAGGTGCTATAAAGGGGGTCACCATGAAACATGCAATGAGGGAATGGGTGTAAGGCTCACCAAGTATCTGCCGAGCAACGCTTGAAGGTGCGACACGGCGAGGCGAAGGAGGGCATTGGCTCAGGTGCTGGGGTGTCCTGAGCGGAGTGACAACAATGTCTGGACATGCAATGGACACTGTATCTCGCTGCGTGCGGGTGTGCCGCATCGCATCACATCCCAAGTCCGCGGTACACTCCCGCTCCACAGCGTTGGGCGTATCCTGTTGCCACTCCCCCATAATACGGTCAACCCAACCCCAATCCGTTTTTCCCAATACCCTAGTGTGCTTCCCGCATCGAATCCGTGTAACACGGACCACTCGGGTCACGTAGGCTGTCACCAGACGGTCCATGCAGTTGTTCCAATGGAGAACGGCCAGAGCGGTCCTCGCACGGAAGCTACCTCGTAGCCTTATGCGTATTGGTGCATACTTGCAAATAAGGGAGTGAAACGACTCGTTCAACGAACAGCATGCACCGTGGATGAACATCTTCACTTGCTCCACCCCATAGTGCTTTATGAGCCAATTTGTCACAGCATGGTGCGTTTCCGATCCGTCCGCGTATATGGCATTTTCCTTACCCCAGTGCTCAGACACGCAACGTGGGGGGGGTGATCCCACCCCGTGCACACCGTGAATGATCCCCCGCCCAGTGGTCAGCGGACATGCAAATCTCCTCCGACACGGTGGCCGCCGTCATGGGATGGCCATCGCGCTTGCAGACGCCGCATCGCATCATGACGTGATAGAAGTGGATTAGCAGACGGTGTACAACCGTCACCTCCTCCTCCCTATTACAACCAGCCCCCTCTACCGACGCCGACCCCCTTTTTCACTTTGAGCGCTTGGCCCATAGGGGTAGGGGGCCCGCGTGGACGACCTCCAGTGCCACACTTCCCGTGGTCCCTGCATCGGTCTGGGCATGTCGACATGTGTCTTGGCCTGCAATAGTTGACGCAGGGTTCACAGCTGCTAGCACACAGCGATTTCAGTCAGTATTGGATGATTCAAACTCGCTACCTCACAGCAAGGGTGCCTCATCTGCGGGCGCAGGAATCTCCTGCCACGGCATCGCTCCACCGATGAAGTGATCGCACCCTGCATCCCCCATGTGCGCTTGCACCATGATCATCGATGCCATGGAAGATGGCCGAATCCCAAACTTGTCGTGTGCATCGTACCCCCACCGTTCTACCACGTTTGCCAATTGAACCTCCACACAAACGGAACCCGCTGGTCCAACGGTCGCCTCAGCCCCCTCCGTCCCCCCATCTCCCGCCGCACCCCTCGTATTAACCGCATCCTCCTCAAAACTGGGCCTGTCATCGCTTCCAATCGGAACCCCACCATAGGAAAGCGGGACACCCACACACGCGGTCTCTCCTCCAACCCGCATCACCTTGCGAAACTCCGGAAACATGTATTT